CGACGAGGGAAAAGGGAAGACGACGACAACAACGGCGACGCCGACGACGGCGACGAAATAGGAGGGACGACGACGAGACGCCGACGACGGACGACGACGACGACGAGGGAGGAGGAGGAAGGACGACCACGGCAACAACGACGACGGAAACGACCACGACGCCAAAGAGGAGGACGACGACGAACACGAGGAAAGACAGGACGACGTAGGCGACGACGACGACGACGTGGGAGGAGGGAGGACGGCGACGACGACGACGACGACGCAAGAGAGCGCGCGCGCACGCTTTTGTTGAAAATCCGTGCTGCGAAACCCTGTGCTTTTGTAGGTTCTATGGACGCACGATTTTGAAGTCCTTCCGAAACCGATCGGTTTTGAAGGTTTTCGGCATACGCGCGCGACGACGCGCGCGTCTGCACTTTGTCCCGTTTTTTTGCAGAGGATTCTCGCGACGGCACACGCGCAAGGGTGCCCGACAGATTTCGACACGCGCGCGCGAAGCCCGTTGAATAGCATTTTGTGAAAATCTGGAAAAACTCATGATTGTTTTAAGATTTCGCAAGAGCTCGCGCGGAAGTTTTTTTAGCAAATCAGTGTTGCGAAACCTTGTGTTTTTGTATGTTTCTTGGAAGTTCGATTGCGACATCCTTCTGGCGCCGAAGGTTTTTGAAGGATTCCGGCATGCGCGCGCGACGACGCGCGCGCGCACTTCGTCTCATTTTTTGCAAGGGATTCGCGAACAAGTGCTACGCTAGAACAAAACATGTCACCGCATAGTCTTTTTTACAAGGGACCCTCAGGGGGGGGATACCGGCCCCCCTGGGATTGTGCACGCTCATATTTGGGATGGACATGTGGTCAGAATCATATATGGTTTACATACCCGTCCAAGGGGAGTGATAACTCCGGGGGGGGGGGGGGGGGTAGATCCTATTCTGTTTGTAGAAAGGAGAACGTATGTGTTGCGATCTCTGTGGGGCGGGTCGTGCTGTGCAATCTATGTGGTCAAATTTTTAATTCAATATTTGTGGTGCAGTATATGTTGCGCAATCAATGCTGTGCAACATCCGTTGCGCAAATAGGGCGCGCAATCTGGCGCGCAGTTCGCTTGCCGAACTTGAAGTTGCCAACTCTCGCGCAACCATCCCGCCCGCCGCTAACAAATTGGTTAACATAACCCATGCGGGAGCGATTGCGATGAGTGCTGGGTGTTGGCTGGTGCATTTCTGCGGCCGCGCTGGCCCGCGCGTGCTCGCGCGCGCAGCGGCTACCTAGCTTGGCGCGACCGACGCGAACGCGGTGGCGCTGACAGTTCGGCGCATCCCAGCGGGCACTTCAGTGCGAATCGGCGACGTGGGCAGGCGCGGTATCATGGCAACGTCGACAATTATAGACGCGATGATGATAGTGGCGTTGCTGGTGACGATGCTGATTGCGACGGCGGAGCAGCCAGTGACGGCGTCGATGCGGACCACGCCGACGACGATGACGGCGTCTACGCGTCGGTGATGAAGATTTAGAACACGGAATTTGAAATGCGCGCGCGGCAGACGCGCGAGGGTGGCTCGCATGTTGTTATTTGACACGTATCGTGCCACCCCAGCATGCGCGCAAGGGCGTTCGAACGATTTCGCCATGCGCGCGCGAAGCTCGTTTGGTAGTGCGCTATGAAAATGTGGGAAGGCCCATGGTTTCCTTAAGAATCCGGAAGAGCGCGCGCTTTTGTTGATATTCCGATACATGTACGTATGTACGTATACATATATACAAAACATATTAGATTTTGGAGTCATTCCGAAACCGAAGGTTTTTGAAGGATTCCGGCATGCGCGCGCGACGGCGCGCGCGTGAGCACTTCGTCGCATGTGTCTGCAAAGGATTCTTAACATCTTATGGTTTTTGATCAACGAGTGCGCGCGCATCGTGTTTTTTTGGTTCTTTCGTTGCAAAGGATGGCGGGGGGGATTGACACCGGCCTGGATGGGGTTGTATGGGCTCATAGGTAGGATGGACATTGGGTCAGATCAGAATCATATGCGTTTTGGATAGGTTCCCAGGGTATCGATAACTCCGGGGGTGGGCTGGGGTGGTAGAACCGTTTTCTTTTTAGAGGGGGGAATCTATGTGGTATCATCTATGCTGTACAACAAATGTGGTGACAACCGTGTTGTACAATACGTGTGGTGAATGTTGTTTATGTTTGTAGTGATTTGTCAAGTCCATTGCGCGCGTAACCATCCCACCCACCCATCCACACCTTGGTTTACAAAACCCATGCGGCGGCAAGTGCGATGAGTGCTTGGCGTTGGCTGGTGCATCTCTGCGGCCGCGCTAACCCGCGCATGCTCACGCGCGCAGCGGCCAGCTAGCTTGGCGCGACCGACGCGGCCGCGGTGGCGTTGACCGCTGGGCACTTCCCAGTTGACATTTTAGCGGGAGTCGGCGACTTGGGCGGGCACGGTATCATGGCAACGGCGGTAGACACGATTCCGGTAGTAGCCATGGTGGTGACGATGGTGACACCGACGACGGCAAGGGCAGTGACGGCTCCTACGCTGATCGCGCCGACGACGGTGACGGCGTCTTCGCGTCGGTTGTGCAGATGTTTGAGGGATTTCTAACTGCGCGCGCGGCCGACGCGCGAAAGAGGCCCGCATGGTTTTGTTTGACACGGATCGTGCCCCCCCCAACACGTTCGCAAGGGCGTATGAATGATTTCAACATGCGGCGCGAGAGGCCCGGTTGGCCGAACTCTATGCGATTTTTGAAAACGTATGTTTTAATATTACGCAGGAGCGCGAACACAAGTATTTTTGAAAACGTATGTTGCAAGATCATTTTTTTTTTTTTTTTTTTTTTTTTTTTTTTTTAAAAAAAAATTGTTTCGCATGTTTGTCTGAGGCGCTCGATTTTGACCCCCTGCGAAGCCGAAGGTTTTTGACGAGTGTCCGCAGTGTCCGCATGCGCTCGGGACGACGCGCGCGTGTGCACGTCGTCCCGTTTTGTATTCAGTGTTTCTGCGATTGCAAATCGGTGATTTTTCACTCGCATGTGTTTTTTTCCGCGGAAGCTGGGGGGGGGTCGACCCGGCCTGGTATAAGTTCATATCCCAAATGAACAACGAGGCGGGGTCATATGTAAATTGCACTTTTTCATTGAGAAAAGGGTTAACCGTGGGTGGGTAGGTGGTAGATCCTCCTCCCTTGTTGAGAAGCTATTCCACTCGGTGCAATCTACGCGAGGCGGCGACGGGGCGGCGACGGACACAACATAGCCGCCTGACGAATGGGCGGCGACGAGGCGGCGACGGCGGCCACATAGCCGCCGGACCGACGCTCAAACCCAGCTCCGTGGAAAACAAGTAAGACCCCCTAAGTGCGAACATTGTTTTGGGAAATGCATCTGGTGGCTTCTGGCCCATCCTGCTAACGTGCCTGAGTTGTGGATTGGGGGCTGCTTGGATGCTCGTTAGCCAGGCCGACGCACAGGCTCCGACGATGAGCGGTGACGAGGCGGCGACGGCGGCGACGGCGGCCACAAAGCCGCCAGACCGACGCACAAGCCGAGTTTCCTGGAAAACAAGTAAGACCTCTTAAATGCAAGCTCTGTTTTGGGAAATGCATCTAGTGGCTTCCGGCTCATCCTGCTAATGTGCCTGAATTGCGGGTCAGCGGCTTCTTGGATGCTTGTTGGTGCTTCTTTGGAAGCCTCTGGGGGGCCTCTTGGAGGCAGTTTTGAAGCCTCGCGGACCTCATGGGGGCCGTTTGGGGCCCCTTTGGACTTCTTCTGGGCCTCTTGGGGGCATGATGGGGGGCTGTTGGCGATCTCGGGGCACGCCCCCTTTGGATGGAGGGCTCGAAATCTTCGTTCGAATTTCCCATCGTGTGGCCCTTTTCGGGCCCCTACAGGCCACTCTGTGGCCGTCTCGGGGTCCTCTTGAGCCGTCTTGGCCCCTCTTGGGAACATCTTAGGTTGTCTTGGGGCGATCTTGGGGGCCTCATGGGCCGTCTTGGACGCTGTGAACGCCCAAGAGGCGAATACATTGAACATTTACGTTTTCCTTAGGAAGGGGGCGAGTTTTAGTGTTGTCGGGGCTTTCGGGGCATCTTGTGGGCCACTTGGGCCGCCTTGGGGCCACGTGGGGCCGTCTTGAAGCTGTGTTGGACTCTTCCAGTGCTTCCTTTGATTATCTAAGGCGGTTCTAGAGACGCTCGAGGGTTCCCAGAGCTCCGGGGAACCTCCAGGAATTCCCAAGACCCCCGGGAACTTCCAGGCATGGCTGGGGAAATGGGGTTCCGGGCCCTCAATAGCCTTACAACCCTTCTGCCTCTCAGGTCTCAGGGCTGCAGGAGCACTGGGGCACTCCACTACGTGCTGAAGGCACGGTGGCGAACACACACTCACACACATACATATATATATATGTATGTACCTATATATATATATATATATATATATACATGTATAGTCATATGTATGCATGCATGCATGCATGTCTGCCTGCCTGTCTGTCTGCCTGTCTGTATGTATGTTTGTATGTATGCATGTATGTATCAATGTATGTCTACATATGTATGTATGTATGTATGTATGGATGGATGGATGGATGGATGGATGGATGGATGGATTGATGGATGGATGGATGTATTCATGTATGAACGTATGCATGCATGCATGTATCTATGTATGTATGTATGCATGTATGCATGTAGGCATGTAGGCATGTTGGCATGTATGCATGTATGCATGTATGCATGTATGCATGTATGTATGTATGTATGTATGTCTGTACGTATGTATGCATGTATGTATGTATGTTTGTATGTATGTATGTATGTAGGTATGTATGTATGTATGCATATATGTATGTATGTATGAACGGATGAGTGTATGTATGTATGCATGCATGCATGTATGTACGTATGTATGCATGTCTCTATACATATGTTCTTCAATCCAATAGTCTTGGCGTCCCTGGCCCTCGTGGCGAGCTGAAGCAGCACGGGTCCGTGAACATCTCCTTCTCGGAGGCCGTTCAGCGGTGGAAGGAAGCGAAGGCGAACGAATTATCCCTCAGCGGGATCCTGGGTCTGGTCGGCAGCTGGATCAGCTGCACTTCCATGCGGCAGGACGATTCGGCATCGCGTCCCAAACTGTGAAGGCAATCGAACAACAGAGAACTGCACGCCCGTCGTTCGCTGAGAGCTGTCGTGCTAGGCCACCATATCCCAACCTGCTGTAAGCGCCGTCCTACTTCAGTGCCAACTGGCGTTCTCTTTGCCTTCCTTTCCAGGGGGCGGGCTGGAACCCAATATGCTTTCAACGTTCTCGTATGTAATGTTCCTACCGGCCTCTTGCGAACTACGGTTGAGCTATTGACAACTAGAGGGCCGCGCAGATTTCCGACGTCTGCGCTGGACCCCCCTTCCCTCGCTCGCGCAAAGCGCGCCACCTGGGGGGGTCCAGTGCCAACGCAAGAAGCCTGCGCGGATCTACCAAAGTCAAATGCCTGTGCAGTTTTTGTTCATCTGTGGTGATGGCAGAGTTTTTTTTTGCTCCTCTCCCGGTCCACCGCCAGGATATTTCCATGTCCACAGCTTCGGGGAGTGTTTTTCAGGGCCCTTTGGGCCATAACGCGCGTTATGCCCACGCCGCCCCCCCATAACAGAAAGCCCTCCCCCCCCCTCCCTCTCAGTGTGTCCCCTGCACTGCCGCAGTGCGTCCGGCACCACAGTCTGTGGTGCCGAACCCACACGGCGGGGGGGGTGGCCGCGTTACGTTTTGCTCCTCCCCGCCCCCCCAATCCCCCCCATAACGCCCGTTATCGCCGCGAGCAAACAATTGCTCTCTGGGGGTCGTTTCCGAGGAGGTCCTCGGGGAGTGGGTTGATGGGGAGACCTGCCCGCCCCCGCGGTCGGAGAAACGTCCAGATCCACCGCTGCCCAGGGGCTTGCGGCGGAACTCCAGAAGTTGTGGATGTGCTAGGATGCATCTCCTGGGAGGTTAAACTCAGCACCGGCGCTGGTGTAGCCGTGGTCGGAGGCCTGCGCAGTCTGGCATAATCCCGCTCAGTCCCGTTTGATCTGGACTCATCAGGTTTCATCCTGGGTTTAATCCAAACTAGGCCTCATGGCCCCTGAAACGGGCTTAATCGCCCTTAGCTTTTCTTTGGAAGACCTCCCAGGAGTTGCCTCCTAAAATGTGGATGCTTCCCAGCGGTGCCCCTGGCACGCACGTCACGGCCGCACGTCGCGTTGAATGCAGGCCCTGCGTCAGCCGCAGTGCGCCAACCAGCGCGCACGTGGCGTTGGCCGTTGAGCCTGCTTCATCGCGTGGGCGGGCCCCAAAATGAGGGCGTCAGCTCCGAGGAGTGCGAGGAGACAATGATGATGATGATGATGATGATGATGATGATGATGATGGTGATGATGATGATGATGATGATGATGATGAGGATGAGGATGATGAGGGTGATGAGGATGATGAGGATGATAATGAGGATGCTGATGATGATGCCTGTGATGATCATGATGCTGATGATGCTGATGCTGATGCTGGTGATGATGTCGATCATGATGATGACGATGATGATGGTGGTGATGATGATAATGATGTTGATGAGGATGCTGAGGAGGAGGAGAAGGAGGAGAGAGGAGTAGGAGGAGGAGGAGGAGGAAAGAGAGGGAGAAGGAGGAGGAAGAGGAGGAGAAGAGCAGGAGGAAAAGGAGCAGGATTAGCTGGGTGAGACGGCGGAGGGATAATATGTACATGATGAGAAGGAAGGAGTAGGAGGAGGAGGAGGAGGAGGAGGAGGAGGAGGAGGAGGAGGAGGAGAGGGAGGAGAAGGAGGAGAAGTAGGAGGAGGCGGAGGAGGAGGGTGAGAGGTGAGGATGAGGATGAGTTTGAGAATGAGGATGAGGATGAGGATGATGATGATGATGATGATGGTGGTGATGATGATGTTGGTGATGGGTATGATGATGAGGAGGGTGACGATGCTGTTGATGATTCTGCCGATGATGAGGATGGCTTTGCTGATGATGATGATGGTTTCGGTGTTGGTGTTGGTGATGGTGATGGTGGTGGTGATGGTGATTGTGATGATGGTGACGATGATGACGATGCTGATGATGTTGCAGATGATGATGGTTCTGATGCTGATGCTGATGATTATGATTATGATGGTGATCATGATTATGATGATGATGTTGTCGACGGTGCTGATGATGATGGTGATGATGATGATTGCGATGGTGATGATGACGATGATGATATGGATAATGAGGATACCGATCATGATAAAGATGATGATGACGATGATAATGATGATACTGATAATGATGCTGATGATGATGATGATGATGATGATGATCATGATGATGGTGATGATGCTGATGATGATGGTGGTGATGATGATGTTGATGGTGATGGTCAGGATGCTGATGATGACGATGATGATGTCGATGAGGCTGGTGACGGTGATGATGCGGGTATTGGTGAGGATGGCGATGATGGTGATGATCATGATGAGGATGAGGATGAGGATCGATTACAATGGCGACAGTTCATGGTCCTTGTGATGGTGATGCTGACCTTGACGATAAGCACGATGGCGATGATGATGCATATGATTATGCTGGTGACGTTGACGATGACTTAGGTGACGAGACCGGCGACGACCGTTTATGACGGCGATGACGATGGCGTCGACGAGGATGATGGTGTTGTTGACGATGATGATAGTCATGATAATGAATCGGATGATGATGTTGATGATGATGATGCTCCTGATTGTGGGGATCATGATGATACGAATGACGATGCTAAGGATGATTATGGTGGTGATGATGATGATGATGACGTTGACAGTCACGACGACAACGATGCTGCTGATAATTAGGATGACGATGACGGCGACTATGCCGATGGCGATGATGGTGATGATGATGCTGATGATGATGATGAGGCTGACGATGGCGATGATGATGATGCTGATGCTGATGCTTTCGCTAATGCTTTCGCTGATGCTGATGCTGGTACTGATGCGGATGATGATGATGGTGATGATGGTGATGATGATGATGGATGATGATGATGCTGTTGATGATGATGATCATCATGATGATGATGATGTTGATGTTGACGATCCTGCTGATGATGACAATGATGATGATGATGCTGCTGATGTTGATGATGATGATCATCATGCTGATGATGATGCCTGTGATGATGATGATGATGATGATGATGAGGATGATGATGATGATGAGGAGGAGGAGGAGGGTGAGGATGAGGATGAGGATGAGGATGAGGATGAGGATGATGATGATGATGATGATGATGATGATGATGATGTTGATGATGAGGATGAGGATGATGATGATGATGATGATGATGAGGAGGAGGAGGAGGAGGAGGAGGAGGAGGAGGAGGAGGAGGATGATGATGATGGTGGTGGTGGTGGTGGTGTTGGCGGTGATGGTGGTGGTGGTGGTGGCGGTATCGTTCGAAACTTCCTTCGTAATGGATTGACGCTTCAGAGTTCAGAGACGTTAGGGTCCGCCCTCCCGACACGCCCTTCTGGTTCTGCCGCTTGTACTCCTGCTTCCAACCCTCCTCATTCTTCGGCCGTTTCGCTCACTCGAGTGAGCTTAGGGCTCTGGTCCAGGGTGGTCATTACCGAGTCAATGCTGTCGTCCCTCGAGATTTCACGCGCCGCTGGTGCAGTGGGACAGGGTTTCTTGTAGAGCTACGCGTGTGGCTGCGTCTGGTGCTGGGCGAAGGCGCGCGAGTGTTTTCTCTGCCGCACGGCCTGGCCTGACACACCTCCACGAGGACCTGTAGCAGCATTACGAGAGGTGGCGGACCACACGGATCTGAAGACTGTCGAGAGAGGACCTGAGCGCCAGTGGATCCGTACAGGGGCCTATCGATGCGTTGACGCGCCCATTCGATGACGCCGAGGCCCCGCAGGAGAGAGTGGTCCTGTGCCGCTTTGAGTTGTACGAGTCCGAGGTATCGCCGAGGGACCTGCAAGTACAGGAAACCTGGGGCCAGGCAGGCAACCGGAGGCGTCAGCCAGTCCGCCAATAGTTGCCTGGTTCGAGTTGCCGACGCAAGTTCGCAGCATCCACGCCATATCACCCTGTCTTGCTCTACCTCGTCGGCACCAGTTGGTTGGGGCACCGCTGACATTCGAATGGCACGCTACATCGAGGGACCCTGAGATCCCACCTTGCGACCAAAAAATGCAACGTCGCGAAAAATCGCGACTGGACCCTTGTACCCCATCGTTCTGCGGCATTTTTTCGAGCCAGATCGATATTTGCTGGTTCCAGGGCCCGACACAAGGCAAAATGACTCGTTATGAATATAGTCGCAACGCCCGGATTTCAGGGGACGTTGCAGCAGGGTGGCGTGAGGTCTCGGGCAGGGATGTGGGTTCAGTTGTCGGCGGCACGGGGTGGGGCGCGTTTGTGTATTCTGGCCGGGGATGGTGGCGGGGCGGGCGCCCAACAGCTGATTCATGTGGCAGGGCCCACGCGCGGCAGTTGCGCAAACGCTGATCGCATGCAGCGATCTCAATGCGAGCGGCGTGTGTGTGTGTGTGTGTGTGTGTGTGTGTGTGTGTGTGTGCGTGCATGGCAGAAGAGCTGCCCTTCCGCTTCACGCGCGCTCGCCTAGCGCAGCCGCTTTATGCTTCTGCATGAGGACTCGCCTTGCGCAGTCCCCCGTCAGCAACGCCAGGTGGAGTTGACGCTCTACGTGGCCCGCCCTAACCTCTCGCTGCACTGACGTCACTTGGCCTCTGGAGGAACATCTCTCTCTCTCTCTCTATATATATATATATTTATATATATATATATATATATATATATATATAAAGTATGTATATATACATATGTGTGTGTGTGTTACTCCGCTTCGGCGCTGCGCGCGAGTCCGCGACCGCCAAAAATCAGCTACTATTCAGGAATCATTTTGCCACTCAAGAACTGCAGGCGCGTTTCGAAGAACTCGCGCGCGGATCGCGCGGGAGAAAGACCCGCTGCGGTGTGGGAGAGGCGGCGGGAGCTCGATGACATCGTGCTGCCTATCAAGAGCGTCTTGGGGGGATGGACCCGCTGAGCTGGGCCGCCCTTCCCTCCCCCCCGGCTTCGCGTTGTGCCTCCTTTCTTCCTAACCCCCCTCCGTCTTCGGCTGGCCCCTCCTTCTCCTCTTCGTGTCTTTCCTTGCACTTGTGGTGTGGTGCCTTCTCTCCTCTTTTCCCCTGGGCTCCCCCTTCGGCCCGCTGTCCCTCTCCTATCCTGTCCGTGTCACCAGCTTCCTTCGGCTGTCGGCTGTCGTTCCTCGCTCCTCGCCTGTTTCTCCGCTTTGCTTGGTGGCCCCTTGTTTTCCTCGTCAAGTGGGCCGGTTTTCGGCCTGTCTTTTGCATTTGTTTGCCTGCGTTGGCCCAGCGTTCGTGCGCTCTACCTGGCCGCTTGTTCTCGAACGGCCGTGGTGCTATCCGCCCAGCCTACGTGCGCCATATCTGTGTATATACGCATGTATGCACACATATCGAGCGTGTATATATATATATATATATAGATTGCAGTCGCAGAACATAAAAAACGATCAACCGATCAACCGGTAAACCGATAAAGTATATCGGTTGACCGGTTGATCGGTTAATCCACCGATAAACCGAAATCATTATATCGGTTTATTGGTCGATTAACCGATCAACCGATCAACCGATAAATCCGCCCCGTGATCCCGCGATGGATTTCCAGCTCGGGGGATGTTTCTCGGTTTATCGGTTTATCGGTCGATAATCATATGAACCGGTAAACCACGAAACCCACCCCGTGCCTCCGCGATGGGCTTCCAGTTCGGAAGACGTTTATCGGTTTATCGGTTTATCGGCCGCATTTGGCATTATGTTCGGCGTTCCGTCAGCTTTTCTCTCAATTTGGCATTGTGTTCTGCGCATCGTCAGCTTTTCGCCTACCACGCCCCGCTGAAAGCAGAATGAGCACGGGTGATTATTTCAGCGTGCGTTTACGACGAGTAAGTGATTCTTTACGCTTCGCGTATCCCCACCAGCCCATCTCACAACAGCAACTCTTGCGAAGCATGCCGACAGTCGTGTTTTTCAGGCGTGTGTCCGCTTGCCCCCGCATATCTCCCCTGTTCCTCCTTCCTCCCGCCTCCTTGTACATCCTCCTTGTGGGGGGAGCGGGAGAAGGACGAGGCGGAGGAGGAGGGAGAGAAAGCGCTCCTCGTGATTTGAGTCGTTTGGGGTTTCTCGTCCTGGTGTGAGTCGTTCGGGCCCTTCTTCCTGGTGTGAGTCGTTCGGGCTCTTCGTGGTGTGAGTCGTTCGGGCTCTTCG